AAGCGAGTTCCAGGAAAGGCGCAAAGCTACACAGAGAAACCCTGTCTCGAAAAACCAAAAAAAAAAAAAAGAAAAAATACTGTTGCCATTGACAGCTTGGCACGCCCTAATCTGTGTGGGTTTTTTGAAATCTGGCCTCTCTCCCTACAGAGGAAGGAAGTCAGCACATGAAGACGGTACATTTCCAGGACCTCCACAGATACAGCGGTCGCTGCTCACCGCGTGGAGACAAGCTGGAGCGTCTGTGTAGCAGACACATGTGGGCACGTTTGCTGACCTGATCACCTCATGGCCCTTCAGGAACCCGCACCTGTTGTCATCCGTTCAGAATGGTTCTACTGCCGACCAGACTGAGATTGGAAGGTCACTGACCAGTGTCTTGTTTTCTTCAGTGATGAGTAGAGAAGCCAGGTCCTCGCCCATATGAGGCAAGCACTCTCCCACTGACCCACAATCCCCAGCCCACAGGCCAACATTTAGAGGGCAACCTGCAAAGCTCACCCTCATGGCCAGGGCCCAGAGAGCTGCCGATTCCGAGGCTGACAAGACAATCAACCTCTGCTCTTTTTCACCCCCACCCTGAGAAGAGCCAGTGTGTCAGAGGCCCTGGGTGGGACTCGGCCTCTGTACCCTCATACACTCCACACTCAGAGCCCCTGCACACTTACTGTAGGTGCTGGTAGATGACCTTTGCCCTCAGGCATGCACCCTGAGAAATCTGAGGTCCCCCTTCCCTCTGGACCATTAGTCAGTCTCCATGCGAGCAGCTCGTAAGAATTTCATACCTAATGGACGCATCCCAGCTGGAGATGCTCTACCCTGCTAACAAAGCATTTGTGGGAAGGGACACTCTTCCCACAACAAGAAATGCTAAAAGAAGATTTTGTGCTTCCTCGAGAGTTCACAGTACATTGGAAGCTTACAATGGCATTGGAAGACTCTGAAAAGTCTTACATTAGAGAAACTGGTTTACCTTTTAGCATTTTATAAGTGTGGTCCACAAACACCTGGCACTGCCTATACTAAGGGATAAACTGTGGCCTAAGAGAAATGAATCTTTGTTTTAAATTCCACTTAACACACACCTCAGACCTCAGCAACCACCACCTGCCATGGATCTCAGTCTCTCCTTTCCCATGCCCCTTCTCTAATGTCCTGTCTACCTTCCTGAACCTTGTTGTCCCCAAGCTCCTGGGCATAGGAGGAGAAAGGAGGATCATGATAGAAAAGACGGACTGGGTTTAGTGGACTACTGAGACAAGAGAGATGGCATGTACATGTACTAAGTACTAAGATGGTTCTGGTACTTAGCCAATCGAGTCCCGCTTAATGTAGGCCCTGTGGACATTGTTGCCTGGAGGTGGAGGGCAGGAGTCCCAGGAACTTCCATTCCTCACCTACCTACCCAAGAGCCCTTGTTCATTCTTCTCTTTTTCAATGGATGCCCCTGTGAGAAGAGCAGGAATTCATACCCACTTCAGTGGCATTTCCCAGAGTGCTCCTCTGCCTAGGGCTATCTTTGGAGATAGTGTTTCTTCCACCCTCAGCAAGAACGTTTATCACCACCCCTAATCCTGTTCCCTCTCCTCTCAATCACAGCCAAGCAAACCTTCCCTTTTGGGCCCAAGTGGTCTGGGTCACTTCACTGTGACAGAGTCAGTCCCTCTGGAGACTGAACACTCCATACTGTGCCAGGGTGAGCAAGAGGCAAGGGACAAAGAGAAACGTGGCCTTGCAACCCAAGACCACCACTCCACGAGAGGGAAGGCTGTCATACAGCGAGATGTTGACCAGCTCCCAGGTGGTGTTGGCTACTTCCTCCACGGGGACCCTCGGGGCCAGCAGCTTGGAGAGGAGGCTGCTGAACCTGCTCACGGTGGTGGCCACCAGCTCCGGACTGGGCCCTGGACTAGATGTGGTCAAGTTCAGCTCCTCAGGGTCTACGCACAAGCCGTCCGAGGAGCGCTCAAAGACCACCTGGCTGAGGTCCAGGCCGGCCACGGAACCTGGGGAGGCACATGCCACATCAGCCACACGCCCGGAGCCCTCCATCCAATCGCGCAGCCACTCCAGATGGCAGTCACAATGCCAGGGGTTGCGGAAGAGGAAGAGGCGGCCCAGGAAGAAGCCAGGCTGGAAAGCGGCCCAGGAGAGCATGGTGAGGCGGTTGCCGTTGAGATGCAGGGCCAGGAGGCCCGATAAGTTCTGGAAGGCGCCTTCCTCCACAAAAGTGATGCTGTTGCGGTCCAGGTAAAGCAGCTCGAGCTCGGCCAGGTCGGAGAACCAGGCACGTGCCACACGCCCCAGCTCGTTGCCCCCCAGATTGAGTGTGCGCAGGCGGCGGAGGCCTAGGAAGGCAGCGGCAGGCAGCGCGGCCAGCAGGTTGTCGTTGAGCAGCAGATGCTCCAGGGCACCGCAGTCGCTAAAGGCCCCGGCATGCACCGCGCGCACGCGGTTGGCCTGCAGGCTGAGCGAGCGCAGGCGCCCCAGGCCCCGCAGGGAGCTGGAGGCCAC